ATCTTATTCTTCTTGTCACTCACGATTTCCATGTTGAAGGCGGCGAATGGTCTGACAAAATACCCTTTTCCGCCTGATAATTCGACTCCATCACCTCATCGAATTATTCCTACTGTCACCATGTGCTCTTCTTCGTACCACCATTTAACTGCGAGCTTTTAGCTTCCTAATCACCTCTACGATGCAACTATCTCCTCCGATTGCCAGTCGAACCTCCGGTGTCACAAGGAAGTGCGCTTCTAATCGTCGTACTGCTGTCCACCAAACTTTGAACCCCAGCGTTTAGCTGCATCCCAGCAAAAGGTTCACAGACCTTCCCTTCAGATTTCCCATCCTTGTTATCGAAAGGCACTGTTCTCTATTTGATTGGCAGGTTGATGCTTGCCAGATCTTCACATGGACCCGGAGGGCGTCAACAATCAAGTGCTGATCAGTTTACAACTCTGCACCTCTGTTGCCGCGAACAGCTATAACAAAGAGTCGCAACTCAGACGAAAAATTCTCCCTCTGTCAAGTGTACCGAAAGTGTACCGATGCACGTTTGATGCTCGAACCGACGTTCGTCAGTTAAAGTAATATAAAGTCCCTTGTTTGATGAAACGCTCCGCAACGTTATACCATTTTTGTTAAGGTTGCTGAGACTGCTTTTCCAATCACGCCTTTCCATCCGTAAGTGGACATGCGCAGTGACAGAACCATTCTGTCGCCTGCCTTTCATATTCAGTACTACGTTCTTCAGAAAGTACAAGTATTCTCCCTCTCAATTGAAAGAACATTCTCATAGGAAAGTCGAAGTTTCAGCCTGATGCAACCTCAGTCGAAATTTTACCTCTCTTCAGCGGAAAGATTGCCATTAAATTATTCTGTCAGCGAGGTCAGATTTTCCCTCAATACCAATGGCTACCACAGTGCTTGTCGTTGGGTCGACTGCTAAATGCCAGAGCTTCGATCCTCATAAAATCAGAATTTCAGAGTCCTGGCGCATCGCTTACGGTAGTTCATGTCCAATGGATGCCTATCGGCCTTATCA